ATGTTCTGGAGTGATTGCTGCAAATGGAAAGAGTGTTGATCAGCTACAGCTGGTGTCTAGCAGGTGGTAGTATTGTCTGGGGAAAAGGGGAAGGTGGAGGAGGAGGGACAGATGACAGTGCTAATTTGGGTCAGGTTGGCTTGGTGTCTCTCGGGTTGGGCATTCCCTAGTGGGATACAAGCCCTGTTAGTGAGGGAAGGGAGGCTGTGGGTAACTGCCAGCATCACCAGCTTCAGACTTACATTCTTGGCCTTGTCCTGTCTCTCTTCCTTTTCCCTTTCCTCTGACCTGCCTGAACTACTCCTGCCCTGCCAGGGATCACCTCCTGCACCACTGGATTGCTCTGCTGGCTGACTGCCCCATCACTGCACACATGTATGAGGACGTGGCACTGATCAAAGACCACACACTTGTTAATTCCTTGATCCGAGTGCTGCAGACATTGCAGGAGTTCAACATCACGCTGGAGACATCCCTCGTCAAGGGCATCGACATCTGACCTAGTACCAGCCAGCAGCAAAACTGGGAAAAGACTCCCTAGCAGCTCTGCATCTTCTTCCAAAAGGGAGACCTATGCAGGGGACAGAGAGGAGATGTACACTCATTGTAAAAAGAAAACTAGAGGATTTTTGGAAAAAATAATCTATTTTAGAGTTTATTTGCTGATTTACTTTTTACACACTTTCATGTGAAAGAGTGATAGGGAGAGGGAGTGAGGTTGGTGCCGCTTATTTTGAAGCTGGTGCCCTCCCTTGTGTGGCCACGCACTAGGAGCCTGTGGCCTCCTGGACTGAGCTGCACACATACAGGGTTGTTCTTCACCCTGCTGTGTTGCATTAATGAGGCCATTCCACATTGTTTTTAACTAATGTTTTCTATATTAACATTATGGATGTTTGGCTTTCACAGACCACACACAGTTGTGCTGATTGGGAAGCCCCATGCTCCATCAAAGGGATTTTTAGTAGTGCCTCTAAGCAAGCACTGAGGAGTCAGCCCCACATCTTTTTTTAATTTTTATTTTTTTGTCAGTATTATTTGGGAAGAAGACATGCCTGGATGTGTCATCATGCTGTCATCGTGTGGAAAGTTACGTTTCCTGTTGGCACACTTTAGAGAAGTAAACAGAAGCATGTTTTAACAGGTTTTTCTTTTTTTCTTAGGTTTTATTTATTTAACTCTACATTGTGTGTTTTAAGTATTGTTTTCTTTTTTCTTTTTTAAGGAAAGATAAAGCTTGTCACACTCTAACTGGCTATGTTATTACTGTTAAATTTATATTGTTTTGCAGCTTAGAAACCAGCTACAATATGGCCCACTTAATAAAACACCTGAAACAGAACTGCACAGAACATGGTCTTTTATTGGGGTTTGTAAGCAGTGAGTGTTGGAGGGTGTACCTTGGTCTGGCGGAGAGGTCTGGGTCTCTTACCAGCTGGCTTAGGATTGTGCCCAGGATGCCCCTGATGGCCTGGTATCTCCATTGTCCTTCCCCTTGCAGGGTCAGGATCCTTCATTTTGGACTGAAGTGGCTCATAGAGAGGGAGATGGAAAAGAGTTACTTTCCACATGACAAAGAAGGGATCTAAAGCAAAGAGAAGAAAAGACCTTGCCAGGGTTACAACGATCATTGCTTGATTGAGACTGGGTATAAGAACCAGGTATAAGCACACAGAACACAGGTGACTCTGTCTACTCTTGGGTAGGGGGTGGGGAGTGGAGGGGGAATCCGTTCTTGAAAGGTTTTATTTTCCAGGTGTAGCAAATTAGCAGAGCTCTGCAAGATCCTAGAAACTAGCTCCCTTTATTTTTATTCTTCAAACAAACTGCTTTGGTGGGAAGCTCTAAAAATACAGGATGACCAAAAATATAGCCCCTCAAACCAGTCAGTTCCTTCTCATGCTACACTGGTTTGCATGTACTGTTCTTTCTGCCTGAAATGCCTTTCCTTTGCCTATATCTTGTTTGTCGCTCATGGGTTGCTTTTTTTTTGGGGGGGGGTCCAGTTGTGGGGCCTGAACTCTGGGCCTGGGCGCTGTCCCTCAGCTCTTCAGCTCAAGACTAGTGCTCTACCACTTGAGCCACAGTGCCACTTCCGGCTTTTTTCTTATGTAGTGCTGAGGAATCAAACCCAAGGCCTCATGCATGGAAGGCAAGCGCTCTACCACTGAGCTACCTTCCCAGCCCTCAAGGTTTGCTTTTATAGCATGGTCCTGCAATTTCTTAGATGTTGGTACAGCCTCTCTGGGTCCTCATTTTCTGCCTCATGTTAGATCCATGAGCTTCTATAGAGGACTCTTTGTCCATCTCCATCCCTTGCCTAGCAGGTTGTAAATGCCCAGTAAAGACTTTGGATGAGGAAAGTGGGTCTCCAAGAGATCTGTAGTACAGTATACTGCCAGTCGGGGGCATTAGCAGACTGCACCGTATCTGGTTACTGCTGATCACAGAGTTCTCAGTTCTTTTGGGGAAGAGAAGATGAATTATGGCTTTGATCAGGGAGGGAGGATTCTTGTTCAGACAACCAAGACAGCATGAGACTCAGTTGTGTGTTTATCATTCAGCTAGGTCTGGGCTTACCTTAAGCCAGGAGCTTTATAATACACCTCTTCCTTTTCTTCATAAGTCAGTAAAGCAAGTATAAATTATCCCAGGTTTGAAATAAGCTCTGAGTGTTTTTATTTACTTGTTGACAACTGTTCTTTATTTGATTGAGATCTCTGCTCAGATGTCCTCAGAGATCCTTTCTTTAAGTAGGTTACAGACCTACCAGAAAGTTCCAATAGTCACTTTTTTTGGCAGGGGCGGGAGGATCATGGCTTTTTTTTTTTTTGGTCCAGTCGTGGGGCCTGAACTCTGGGCCTGGGCGCTGTCCCTTAGCTCTTCAGCTCAAGGTTAGCGCTCTACCACTTGAGCCTCAGCGCCACTTCTGCCTTTTTTTTTCTTTTTGCTTATGTGGTGCTGAGTAATCGAACCCAGGGCCTGAGGCATGCAAGGCAAGCGCTCTACCAATGAGCCACCTTCCCAGCCCCCATCATGGTTTTTTTTTTTTTTTTTTAGTTCATTTAAAATATATAATCAGAGTGTGGCTTTTTTTTTTTTAACGGTATTACATGTTTATTGTGCTTGCTTGCTCAGCTGGTGCTCTACCAGTTGGTATATCTCTCTCTTTTTTTTTTTTTTTTCCTTTTCTTTTTTGGGTCCAGTCGTGGGGCCTGAACTCTGGGCCTGGGTGCTGTCCCTCAGCTTTTCAGCTCAAGGCTAGCACTCTACCAATTGAGCCACAGTGCCACTTCCGGCTTTTTTCTTTTTGCTTATGTGGTGCTGAGGAATTGAACCCAGGGCCTAAGACATGCAAGGCAAGTGCTCTACCACTGAGCCACCTTCCCAGCCCCCAGTTGGTATGTCTCTATCCTGGGTTTTTGCTGTCTTTTCTTCCTCCCTCCCTCCCTCCCTCCCTTTCTTCTTTCCTTCTTTCCTTCATGGGGTTTGAACTCTGGGCCTGGGTGCTGTCCCTGCACTCTTTAGCTCAAGGCCAGCACTCTACCACTTGAGCCACAGAGCCACTTCTGGTTTTCTGGTAGTTAATTGGAGATGAAAGTTTCACAGACTTTCCTGCCCAGGCTGGCTTGAACCATGACCCTCAGATCTCAGCCTCCTGAGTAGCTAGGATTATAGGCGTGAGCCACCAGCACCCAGCTCAGCTTATTTATTTTTTTGAGATGGAATCTTACAGACTTTTCTGCTTGGGCTAGCCTCGAACCATGATCCTCCAGATCTCAGCCTCTTAAATACACCTGTCCCACTACTCATCTAAATATAAATAAATACATATATACACACATGTATTGTACAATGAATTTCATTATACTATTTCCATGTATGCAAATGATGGTGTACTTTAGTCATATTTACCCCTCTTATTCTATCAATTACACCTATTATTATTATTATTTGCTGGTTGTCAGGCTTGAATTCAGGGCTTGTGTTCTGTCCCTGAGTTTTTTTTGCTCAAGACTATTATTCTACTACTTTGAGCATAGCTCTACAAAAGACTCATGGACTTTTCTGCCTGGGCTGGCTTCAAAGTTCATTCCTCAGATCTTAGCTTCCTGAGTAGCTAGGATTATAGGTGTGAGACCCTATTTGCTATTTTTTAATGTAAATTTCATTAAGGTGAGAAGTGGTTTACTTTATTCACTAAATATAGGTTCCCAGTAAGTGTCTAGAATAATAAATGATTTTATTGGTAGTATTTGAGATTACAGTTTATGGAACCAAATTCCTTAGACTGAATGCTTGGTCTGCTACTGTGATAGGCGGCATGGCTTTCCCAAACCTCGGTGTACTCATCCATACACATGCCTCTATCAGTACTAGTGCCTGCATCCTTGGGATGTTGTGAGGATCAAATTGCCTGAAACAACAACAACAAATTGCCTGAAACATACCAAGTGTGTCATGGGCTTGGGAAGTACTAGTTACTAACCCCTTTGGTCAGTTCTGTCCTGGTTCCTGGGTTAGGGATGACTGAAACCTTAACCCCTGTCCCCCAGAAATGCAGAATGCTATAGAGGAGTATGCCATCAGTATTGACTACTATGGGATCTGCTCAGGGTGGAACATTGTCAGAAGTATGGGCCTGGCACAGTGAGCAAGGGCCTGGCAATAGGAATGTGCCTGCAGGCAATGAAGCTTCGTGACGTTTAGAGTCTGGTCCTAGCAGGGGAGGGTGCAAGTCTGTGGGATGCTTATCCACAAAAGGTGAGAGATTTTGAAAAAAAGGGCCAGCAGGCATGGAAGGACTTTGAATGCTCAAGAGATGTGGACTGTTTGAATATATGCTACAGGCGCAAATCACAGAGCCACATCATCAGTATGTGACATTCCTAGTACACTTATACTCCATAAGTGTTACTCCTGTTGTTGATCCTCCTTGTCTGGTTGATGTGAGAAATGGGAATTCATGAGCTGAGCACAACAGCTGGGCATGGGGTAGCATGAAGGTAAGTGGGTGTCTTACAGGCAGTGTGCCTCAGATCATATGGCTGGAGCAAATCACTGACCACATGTGCTAGCAACAAAAGGGTCTGTTTGACCACATTTAACTGAGTTCTCCTAAAAGGGAGCCATAGGTCTTGGGAACATGGGGCAGCAGCATTTGGGTAACTGGGAGTATATCCTATCCTTTGTCTTCTTTCAACTTTTAGGAGTTGATTACCAGGGCCGATGCTCAAGCTAGAGTTAAATGACTTGTCTCCTATGTCATGAACAGTTGTACAGTGGGCCATGGTTAGGGTGGGGGGTGAGAGGTAGAGTTGGGGGGGTGGCAGAGGAAGAACAGCACCCAGCACTCAGTTCTGTGTGTCTGTGACTTAGGCCTTGGTGGTCAAAGCAGATATTAGTGAAAAGGTAGATGTGAACATAGTTTATCAGTTAGGGTTCACCTGAGATCATCTGCTTTTCTGTCCCTTACAGCGGATTCTGCTGACACTCTCAGCACTCAGGAGTATGGCTTGGTTACTTGATACCAATGCTAGGCTAATTACCTGGCTGCCTGGACCTCTGAAGGGCCCTTTTCTGCTTCAGGCTTCACTGGAAGCTGCAACTTCCTGTCACCAGAGAAGTCCTAGGAATGAAATGTGTGGCCTCTGGATCCCAAGAGGTCTACTTCTTTGTGGTAGAGAATGCAAGATTATTGATTTGTTTTTTTTTCTTTTTCCTTTCTTTTCCTGTTCCTTCCACCTTCTCACCTTCCATTTTTCCCTTCCTTTATTCTTCCTTCCCTCCATCCTTTTTCTTGTGCTAGGAGTTGAACCCAGGTATGGCACATGTTTGGTGTATACCCTACCACGAGCCACATGCCACACCCTATCTTTTATTTCTTTTACATCTGTGGCCACTGGGTGTTATATAAAAACTTCATATATGTCTTTTTCTATTTCAAGTAAATAGGAGGATCATGAATATTTGTCATTCCTATGGAACAGCCAACAGTGTTTGCTTACAGGTTTCCCCCCAGAACTGTGCTCTCTTGCCTTCTGTCATTGTCCAGAGAGATCTGGACTATCTGGGCAGCCTGCAGAACATCACACAGCTTCATTACATGGATTGCACCATAGTTACTGGGTGGGAAAGAAAGACCCTTGCAAGACACATATGCTCCAAAAGCTGGATGATAAACCCTAGGAAATTTCAGGATCTACTGCTTTTATGAAATTCTGTGGCAAGAATCCAACTGCACAGGGCTCCCTGCAGATGATCTGAGGGAGTTTTACTTTGCCCATAGAGCCTTGAGAAGTCATGCAAGGCTTTCTGGAGGTGAGTGACATATTCAGATTTAAATTTCCAGTGAAGATGTATGCGTTAGTGGTCATAGGGGAAATGAGCACTGCTTGACCTGGGGGGTGGGAGTGGAGTGCTGGGAAAGCCATAAATTCTAGAGTTGCTTCAGAGTCAAGAGGGACAGAATCTGGTGATAGACCAGAAGCCAGGCAAGAAAGAATTGTTAGGGATGCCTTCTTGTACTTTGAGCCACACTAAAACTTGTGTAGTATATTATAAATGTAGGTGTTCACAGACTCACACTCACTTGTAGGTATACCCCTGAGCTGTTTTGAACTTCCTTTTGTCATACTACTCTGGGGAAAGTGGAGGAGAGGATGGTGGCTTATGAGAAGCCCTGGAACTTAAAATTGCTTCTTGTTTTACACTGACTGAAAATAAAGCTGACTATTTCCTTGGGAGTGGATCAGGTCTTGAGTATTTCTCCCCACCCCTCAGCAGGGGTCCCAGCAACTTCAGCTTTGGAAAGGTTTATTATAGGGTTTGACCTTTAACTGAAACTGCACAGGCTAAGCAGCTGCTACAACCTTGGAACTTCATGATGAATATTCCTGGAATATGGTTTCTTTTTTTTCTTTTTTTTTGGGGGGGGGTCCGGTCATGGGGCCTGAACTCTGGGCCTAGGCACTGTCCCTCAGCTCTTCAGCTCAAGGCTAGCACTCTACCACTTGAGCCACAGCACCACTTCCAGTTTTTTTCTTTTTGTTTATGCGGTGCTGAGGAATCGAACCCAGGACCTCATGCATGCAAGGCAAGCACTCTACCACTGAGCCACCTTCCCAGCCCTGGAATATGATTTCTATTGCTAAGCTTCTGAGCCTCCAGCTGAGCCAAGGCATCCCCTGAGCAAACCACTGGTTACTTTTCATCTTGGTCCAAGCTCTTAGTCCAAGCTGCTTTGTCCTTGGCATGTAAGCCATACTTTCCCTACAACTACATGCAGTCATGGCCAGGCAGCTCTTTGAATTCTTGTGCTCTTTCCCCAAAATGTTGCTGTCAGTGGTGTTACAACCACTGAAAATCAAAACCACAGAACACATTAGGGACAGGCCTTTCAATAAAGAAACCTTTGGCCTAGAGCCCTTGTAAGATTTTGTCCTTTATTTCAGTTTTGGGGTTTTGAACTGAGCTCCATCACTGAGGCTCACTTAGTTGTGCATTTGTTAAGCTCAGCCCTCTGGCATCTTGAGACCATGAGGATTTGCACAATTTTATAGCAAAATGTAATCAGAACGTTGAATTAAAATTGTTACTTGGTTTTGTCTGTAAAATTTCACTTTACTGAATTTGCAATGATAGGTAATTCTTTTGGGAGGTTCTTACTTACTAATGCAAAAACCCCAAAGTGGACATTCATCTGGGACACAATCACAGCTCAGTTTTCATCCTAGCCTGCTCTGGGACCTCCATATCAGGTAATGTGCCTTCCTCTGTTTCCTATAAAATAAGTTTATCAGCTCTCTGTTATTGGTATGTGATGAAGACAAAAGGATCTAGCAAATAATTTTATTTTTTTCAATTTTTTTTATTGTGGTTAAGTGGTTACATAATTCCCCAAATTTCACAGTATTGTGGGATAATGAAGCTTAGTTAAAGTCACAAACACATTCTAACTTTCATGGGGCAAATTGTCTATTATGGTCTATAACATTTATGAGTTCTATGAGCTTTAGCAAATAATTTTAAAAGTGAGAATAAATCAAGAAAGGCACCAGTGGCTCACTCCTGTAACCCCAGCTACTCAGGAAGCTAAGATCTGGAGGACCAGTTTGAAGCTAGGCCAGACAGAAAAGCTTAGGAAACTATATCTCCTAAATAGCAAAAAGCATGGCTCAAGTGGTAGAGCACCTTAAGCTTAGCAAGCTTGAGGCCCTGAGTTCAAACTCTAATACTGCCAATAAGTAAATAATATAAGAACAAGTTAAGAAAAAAAATTTAAGAGGCATCTAGATTGGAAAAGAGGTAAAACTATTTGCATATATGATCCTGTATATATAGAAAATCCCAAGTAATCTAAAAATGAAAGAGTTTGACTAGTTTTCAGGATTCAGAACCAACATACAAAAATAGTATTTTTATGCAGTAGAAATGAGGAAACATAATGTTTTAATTTAATTTACAATAACACCAAAAGAATAAAATACTTATGAATCTTTAACAGAAGTGAAGAATGTATACTCTGAAAATTACAAAACATCTTTGAAAGAAATGGAAGATGACCTTGGTAAACAGATACCCCATGTTCATCGATTAGAAAATGTTGGTAAAATGGCAGCATTTCCCAAAGTGACAAAGACTCTGCTAAAACCCCATCAGACTTCTTTGCAGAAATCAATGTTGATCCTAAAATTCACATGAAAATCCAACAGACCTAGTCTAGCCAGAGCAAGCTTGAAAAAGAACAAATTTGAGGTTGGGGGGTTTAGTTTAGTAGTAGAATGCTTCCCTAGCATGCACAAGGCCTTAGATTTTATCCCTACCATGGGGAGGGGGGTAAGAAAAGCTGGAAGACGACGCATTTACCTATTTCAGAACTTATTACAGTAGTCAAGACTGCAGTTTTGGCATAAGGGCAGACATAGATAAATGGAATAAGACCAGGTATACTTATGGTCAGTTGATTTTTTTGAAAGGTACCAATATTATGGGGAAATAAAAGTCTTCTCAACAAAGGGAACTAGATACCCGCATATAAAAGAGTAAAGTTAAGGGACTGGGGATATGGCCTAGAGGTAGAACACTTGCCTAGCAAAAAAGTAAAATTGGGGCCCTTGCTCATATCATACATAAAAATGAACTTGAGATTGATTGAAGAACTAAACATAATAGCAAATGGTATAAAGCTTTCAGAAGAAAACATACACATAAATCTTTGTGACCTGGGATGAAGCAATAGTTTCTTAGCTATGAAAACCAAAACACAAGCAACAAAAGAAATTAGACTTCTTCAAATTTATAAACTTCATACTTGCTCAAGAAAGTGAAAAAACAGCCCATAGAATAGAATAATATATTTGTCACATATATCTGATGAAGAACCACTGTCCATAATATATAAAGAACTCCTACAAATCAATTTAAAAACAGGCAAAGAATCTCAATAGTTGTTTCTTCAACTAGTCTGAGCCAATAAACACATGCAAAATTGCTCAACATTTTTAATAGGAAATGTAACCACAATGAGTTACAGGTTAAGTATATCATTCAAAATGCTTGGGAATAGGAAAATTGGAATTTCAGCGTTTCTCAAATTTTGGAATACTTACAGAGACTTTACTGGTTGAGCATCCCTTGTCCAGAAATTAAAAAAAAATCTGAAATGCACTAGTGAGAACAAGGCCCTGAGTTTAAGCTTTAGTACTGCAAAAATTAAATAAAAACATCGAGTATTCCAAAATCCAAATATTTTTTTGTTCAAATATTCTTTTTTTATTAAATTTATTTATTTTTTATTTGTGAACATACTGTACAGAGGGGTTACAATTACATGGGCAGGATAATGCGTACATTTATTACCAAGCATTGCAGCCTCCTCCTTTGGTTTACCCTTCACATCCCTTCCCAGCCTCCCCCCTCCCCCCCAATCCCAACCCTTCTCCTCCCCCCCCAATCCAAATATTTTTT